TGCAGCGTAACACGGCAGACAAACACACAAACAAATACACAACACACAAACAAAACACAAACAAACAAATATACAGACAAACGCACAAACAAATACACAAACAAACAAATATACAGACAAACACACAAACAAATACACAACACACAAACAAATACACAAACAAACAAATATACAGACAAACACACAAACAAATACACAAACAAACAAATATACAGACAAACACACAAACAAATACACAAACAAACAAATATACAGACAAATACACAACACACAAACAAAACACAAACAAATATTCAAACACACACAAATACACAAACACAAACAAATACACAAACAAACAAATATACAAACACAAACAAACAAATATTCAAATACAAACAAATATACAAACAAACAAATACACAAATAAACAAAAATACAAACAAATATACAAACACAAACAAATACACAAGCAAACAAATATTCAAACACAAACAAATACACAAGCAAACAAATATTCAAACACAAACAAATACACAAGCAAACAAATATACAAACACAAACAAACAAATATTCAAATACAAACAAATATACAAACAAACAAATACACAAATAAACAAAAATACAAACATATATGCAAACACAAACAAATATACAAATATACGAACAAATATACAAACACAAGTAACAGATCATCACCCTAGCTCCACCACTTCAACAGATTCGGGTATCATCATTCCACCAATGGTTCTTACTCACTTTTATTTCGAAAAACCCGGTTTCATCACTATTTGATACTGATTCATAAACACATTATTCATGCTATAGTTTGAATCGTACAACGGAGGTTTCTTATGATTATAGAAAGGGCTTTGTCGCTTTTATTATTTATTATTATTATAACACCTGAAGGGAATACCGGGGAAAAAAGGGTTGTGCAACGATGATTTCCTCTCATGGGTCATCATAGTCCCCACAAACCGATCCTCCAATTGTCCATATGCAATGTTTCTTGAATATGAATACGGTTGTTCAGGACCCGTGAAGATCCGGAGATCATGGGTCTTCATCAACCCATGCTTGCCGTAAAAGGCGACTATGCTTGTCGTAAGAGGCGACTAACGGGATCGGGTGGTCAGGCTCGCTGACTTGGTTGATGCATGTCATCGATTCCAATTGCGTGGGTCGATGCTCACTATATCAATCACTGGATTGTCTGGTCCAGACTCGATAATTTACAGACCGCCGTCATGTAGCTGGAATATTGCTGAGTGCGGCGTTAAACAACAAACCAACCAACCCATCTGAAACAGCATTCAATGCACATGGCTGGTGAGCACTTGAATCCAGGTCAGAACCTGTGCTTACTGCAGATCAATCACAGTATGCAATTGCTAAAACAATCCAGCGGGACGTTCTTGAATTATATGGTGAAGAAAAATTCCTTATCATGTTTGGTAGATCGCATTTTGACAGCTGCTTTAGGATCCACAGAGACTAGTTCTAAGTGGATGACTTCTAGAGGAGTGTTCACATTAGTAAGTTAAGGTTACACACAACCAAATGTTTTCCCATAGACTTCTATAGTAACGTTATATTTTTTTTTTAAATAACTAAGCATTCAACAGCTATTACCTGTACGCGTGTGCACAGTTTGGCCTTAGAGCAGCAATAAAAAAATAAAAAATGACTAGCTTAGCCAGCTCCTTTTCCGAGTACAGGAAGCTAAACACACCACCCCCAGTTTCGCACCAAATGTCACCTACTTGAAAATAGCTGTGGTCACATTCAGCATAAGTCATCATGTTGAAAAAGACAGTACTAAATATAGAAAAACATGGTCAGTTTTAATAACTGGATTGATGTACATTTGAAAGACATAAAAATCTTACAGAATATCCTCCAATCACAGCCTGCAGATATCTCTCGATCTGCACTGAAGGCTCCTACGAAAACCGCACTGTCCAAACTGGTTCTGATTTGGTGTAGTAGAACCTTGACACTGTCATGCATTGCATCTATCTGTCCACAAGGAGGTGATGAATAGGACTGGTGGCGGAGATCTTGTTATAATACTGATGACAGCATCAAGGACATACCATACGAAGTATTTGCAAGTACATCAATATAGCTGCACATAAAACTGAAACTACCTGGACGGTTTGCCTCTCTCATGTGTGACAGACCAGTATGACTTGGAAGGTCAATGAAGCCAGGTCAAAATTTTAGGTTTTGAAGATCTAGGCCAATTGAAAACAGATCTAAAACAGCATCCAATGCGTGCACTCCTTCAGGGAGCATATGTTTGCGGACAGGTGCTTGATGAACGTCCCACACTACAGAGCCCTGCAGTCCTGGGTTGGCAGAGGACATGGAGTAATACGTGTGTACCCAAGGGGACAACACTTGGTCAGGCTCAAGAATAGCGTTATAGTGAGTGAGTGAGTTGGGTTTAACGCCGCCTTTAACAGTATTCCAGTCATATCACGTCATGTCAGCTTAATGTTGGAGGAAAGCCCCAAGTCATGCAGGTCTCAGACGTTTACCTCTTCGGTGAAACCCACGAGCACGGGTATGGTGCTGACAAACCTAGAAACATAATCGGGGTGAACCGGGATTCGAACCCACAATCATAGGTTTCTGGCGTGCCCAAGGGACGCAACTCTGCACAGTGAATTGCGGCGCCTTAGACGACTAGGCCACCCGTGCCCCCGAATAGCGTTATAAACTAACACACTAAAAGAAGGTTTGCACAGGCTTTTGTAAGTGTCACATAGACGGTATTAAGTACACTGCTATACGCCACTGTGAAGAAAAGCGTTCCCAGTAACTGAATTGTGGAACTTTAAACGGATTTTTTGACCTAATATTCCTTGTCATACTCGATGTAAGTATGTATAATTTGTTCGGATTCATGGCAATAATGTCAATATTACTTATACATATTTTCAGATGTTAAGATATGAATCCACTCCAACATTATTATGGCAAATTCATTGCAAAGTTATGTACAATTTTATTAATTAAAAATGCTTTCTTCTTGTTCTCTGAAACACTGCATTTGCAAAATACTAGGTCGAATAGTTCTCAGTAAACCTTTTAAGAATTTAATTGAGCCATAATACTCATAGACTATACACAATACTAAACAAAGACATACATTCCAATGTGTTATTTAATCATGTGTTTTGTTTGTTATACAAGATATATTTAAATCTTATCAACTTATCCAAGTCCTGAAGATATGAAATCATATCGATCTCTGCAGTAGAAATAGACAATATCTGAGAGTCCAGACTTTTTCGGAATGGTTCAATGTATAACCATAACTAATACCAAAAACAAGCAATGAGAAACAAAACATTCGATAGTGAAACAGCGTTTCAGCTGTTACGCAGAATATAACTTACGTAGTAAACCATATGTTGTCAAACTTCACTGAATAACATTTATTTCATTATTTTGCTGACAAGATTTGTCGATGGTATGAAAATGACTAATACCGCAGCACAATGACACCGACGACCGTCACACCCACAACGCTGCTACGTCAGCAACAGCTGACGGCGACCCACGTCATACGGTACATAATACACGTCCATATAGAGAGGGTAGCAGGTGGTGCGTGCACTTACGGTACAGGTGTATGACGGAGCTATGAATGCTGTGTCACCCCGCCTACGTAAACTGTCGATGCAGGCACAATATTGACGTCTAGCTGAGCGTTCGTCTTTATCAATTGCAACGCTTAAAACAGGTGAATATTGAAAGCTGTTGTTTGGGCAGGTTATGCTGTTTAGAAATTCGTTTTGTGGGTCGAAAATGTAACTTTATTCTTCTGGTATCAGCCCACCACATATAGATATTGTTATTAAAGATCTCGGGGATGGCGTCATTCGTCTGAAACACTATATAATACTGTAACAAACGTTCGGAGGGACCTGTATTATCTTTCACGGGAAATTGATGGACAGATTAGGTGATATGTTTAATGTGTTTATGCACAAAAGGAGCATGAGTAGTTTAGTACGAAGGGGTCATTTAAAGAAACTTTACGTAGAGACAAAATTCAGACGAGACAATGTTGGTGCAAACACTGACAATTTCGGCCATTTTGAATTCAAATTTATTTTTTTTCACTTTGGCAAACTCCAATGGCGTGGCCAAATATGTTTCTGCTAACCTAATATGACACCAGTGCCGTAGCCAGCCGGGATTTTTTTTTATAGAAAACAGTTTTAGTTGAATCAAATTGGGGACAAGTGATACTTGTACAAATATTAATGTCCTTGCACATCACAATAAATGATAGGAAAACACAAAACAGTGTCAAATAACGAATTTCGGTACCAGCATTTCCATGTGAAATATGTGAGGTTGGTGTTGGAAAATCCAAGATGGCTGTTACTGACGGTATACGGTCTCATATCAGGTCAGTAACAACCATCTTGGATTTTTACTGACGGTATACGGGCTCATGCGGGGTCAGTAGTTCTGCTCTCTGATTGGTCAATCTCACTTTGAGGCATAATAATCATATCATTATATACTCACCCACTTTTACGCGAATACGACACAGGTTGGTTAAGAATTTACTTATATTCAAGATATTGGATTGGTTCGATGCACAAACGAACATACTGTTCGGTTGTCTGAACCGACGCTCATGAGCGCATCACATGTGACGTCATAGATACATGACAAGAGATGCACCATTTGTCTCGTGCAGGTTTGCGTGTAAAGTTTGGAAATCGCGTGCAGCATATTGTCATAAGAATAAAGGCACTCTGTGGTAACACTTGACTGATTGTTAGTTTTGTTTTTAGTTGGTACACATTGGAAACATCTCTTCTTAATGGACATGCTTCTTTATTTGTTTCTATGGTTCGCGTTTCTTTTGGCGTTGGGTATATTATAATCAGGTTTTTAATAATGTTGTTTTAACCTTTAAGATTTCTTTATTTGTTTTGTAATCGAATTATGTTTCCCTTTTTAACGTTGAACCTTTCCCTTCTGTTTAGCATCTGCATGGCATCCGGCTTGTATCCAAGTCCCTTCAGAAGCTATACCTCTTCAACCTGTGGAACGTCCTTTTCATCAGCGTGGACGGCAAGGACCTCCGTTACATCAACATCGACGACGGTTTGGAGACAATGGAACATCTGGAGTTGTACACACCCAAACTCCGACGCGCTCGCATCAACGGCAGCAACGCCATGAAAACAATCAGCATCAAAAGCAACAAACTTTCTTTTCTGGAACTTTCCAACTGCGAAGAACTGGATATGCGTTCGTTGAGGGAGACTCTCAAATCCAACCCGTCCATTTTATGTCTTAAGATCGGATGTCTTTCGCAGGACAGTTTGCTTCTGGACGAGCTGATCATCCCAAGTCTGCATGAACTGTGTCTCTTGTCGGACTTCGCGTGTGAAGCCATTCACATCAGAAGCCCCACTCTCCGCCTGTTCCACACAGAAGCAGAAAATGACATTATTACACTCAATCATATCTACATCACTGCCAACCACATATGCAAGATAGCGTTAGTGGGGATGCCAGCCTTGAAAACAATGACGATTCAGTGCGTGAGTGTGGACTCGATAGAGTTGAACCTTTGCAGTGACGAGCAGATCATTCTAGATTCCTGCGTCATCCATGCCATGGGCGCGATAGGGTTCTTGAGACTCTTTGACTGCAAGCTAAACTTGCTGTCAGTCAGTACCCCGCAGGCCGAAACAGTTGTCCTCTATCGTTGCCAGATGACCAACTATGTTCTTCAGATGGCGCTGAACGGCTGCCACAATATATCTCACCTCAACTTGGAAAAATGCAAGAGTATAACCCAAGTGTCTGTGGATGCTCCTCCGATGATGTTCCTCAACATGTTCGGGTGCCGAGAGGTCCATCGCCTGGACTTGGACTGTCCGCAGCTGTTAGCTCTCAATCTTGGCCAATGTCCAAACGTACGCTTGTTCCTGAAGGGCGTGGAACAAGACTTGACCACGTGCTGTGACCATCCGAAGATCGTCAGTCCCACGGGATCCATACGATGGAGCCATCATTTCCCGCCACTGCATATATGTGGATTGTGACGTGTATTTAATGCACCATTTCCGTGATCTCAAAATATGCACAAGTGATGTTTACTTTTCACAATGCTAGTTTATACTGATAAAAAAATAATGTAACGACCAAAAGGAAAAGGAATGTTTGGTATGAATGTTACAATGATAGAGAGATTATTCTGTAAAGTTGCACATAATACTAACTGACTTAATGTATTGATATGATGCATTTTACTTAACAAAGTAATAACTTTAAATCAGCACAATTTAGACCGTTCCGTTATATTTTGCCATCAGTAAGTATGCAAATTATCACTGCTGGGGCAATTGCATACTATATCCTTAGAGGCGTGTAGCACTCTTAAATCTTAAATATTCGATTTAAACAAAATTTCGTAACTAATCGACTTTTGAATACTTATTTCATACTATTTACATAAACGTTAACTATTGTTTTATTTCGTGCAGTACTCGAAATATCCCCATAAAATTATGAATAGTATGTTTTCAACATGACATGAAAACACCTTACAAAGAAACAGAAGTGCTGCCAATGTCTCCAGTCCCTATCATCACAACTTTCTACAGATTCTGATTTACAAACTGTTTTGTCCTGAAACCGGTAATCTACTATATATTAGATCATGTGTTATATTAACGAAGTACGTATATATGGTATTTAGGGTGTTTCCCGATCTCATGCACTAAGGTTACCAAAGGGTTTTATTGATATATATATATAGACAATTAAAATTAGAAAACAATTAAATCATTGTTTAATACTCAGGCGCGAGGCATTATCAAATTCGTGTCATTTTCTTACAGTACTATGCGGCGAATTCAGGGTTACTAAATGTTGCCATGATGTACAGATGCATAACATAGAACGACTGAAGTGATAGTTTTCAAAAGTTAAAAGTTGATGCCACTGTCCCTAAAAGGAGTTTTTAGATTTTGCTGACTCAGCACAATGAATCTAGGATAGGAAGTAGATATTATTGATCTCCTACTCTAATCATACTGGGATATCGATCAATATCTGAGAACATTTGTGATATCGATATGCAGTGGATGGATCTCTAACACTAACACCTCATGCTTGATACAACAATCATGATTGCAAGCTTCGTTCAAAATAGGCAATCACAATGATGTCCTCACATGGCACACCTGATGTGGTGCCATCTTTACAACCAGGTGGTATGTACACTGAAGGTATAACTATGGATGGTATGGTAGTTCTGAGAAATATGAACATTGCAGCTGTGAGTGTGAGTGGTTTCCACGGGGATTTTGTTGGTGGTTGGATTGGGAAGTCGTATCAGAGTGAGTGAGTGAGTTTGGTTTTACGCGCTTTTAGCAATATTCCAGCAATATCACGGCGGGGGACACCAGACATGGGTCGAAACCGGTCTTCGTCGCGACAAGCGAAAGCTGTAACCACTAGACCACCCGACCGCCCCTCCGATGAGAGAGTCGCTGTAATTATTCAGTTTGGGACTGCTATTATCCTAGGTTAAAAGATACGAATGGATGTGTGTATTTATTTGTGCGAGTGTGCATGTGTATGCTGTTACCTACAGACGTTGGCCTACAGTGATACTACACTTGGTCTCCTACTGTTCCATAGTGGGCTTCGAACGGTAAATAGAAGGAACAATACCCTTTCCATATAAATAAGACACCTCTGCCAAAAGCAAAGTCCATTAGGCGATTCCGGCTTTATCGTGAGTATGTGCCCCCGATTCACATCCAGACAATGGTGAGACCAAGTGTTCGTTTTGAAACGTTTTGCTTCAGTACAATTAATAACTATTCAAGTTGGGAAACTTCTTTGACCTTTTGTAAAACGCCTGATAACTCGTATTTTATCTCTTAAACCTACATTAACACCAAGTACAGAGTTGAGTATACATATTTGAATAATATGTTCAACGCTTCCGAAATGTCCAAATGCATCCTTTTGCTCGCATTTTGCCCCACCACTGAAAGTAAATAATTTGAGGAGTCTTTCAATAAATTGTGAGTGAGTTGGGTTTAACGCCGCTTTTAACAGTATTCCAGTTATATCACAGCGTGTCAGCTTAATGTGGGAGGAAAGCCCGAAGTCATGCAGGTCTCAGACGTTTACCACTTCGGTGAAACCCACGAGTACGGGTACGGTGCTGACAAACCTAGAAACATAATCGGGGCGAACCGGGATAGGAACCCACAATCATAGGTTTCTGGTGTGCCCAAGGGACGCAACTCTGCACAGCGAATCGCGGCGCCTTAGACGACTGGGCCACCCGTGCCCCCGCTTTCAGTAGAGGACCACCACAACATCCCTCTTAAACCTCACGTCAACTCTGTACTTGGGCAGTTCTTGTGCGCCAATTTTTCCCCTTATCGTGTAACGTCTTTCCTTCATCATACGACCTTGCTCAAATAACGACTTCCCAATATTTTGTGGCATCTTCCTTACTTTCTCGATATCATTTTATTTCATATCCTTGAACTTGAATTTATTATGCATCAAGAACATTGATAATTACTTACCAATTGTTTATCAATTCAATATGCATTGGTGACGTGTTCCATGCGTCGTTTCTTCTTGTGATAAAAACCTAAATACAATCATGTGATGTCAGCCTCTGCACCATGTGACCAGGTCACGTGGTTACTTAAGGAATATGTACCGGTGAAGCAGCAGTTCAAAACATGACGAGAGTATTCAAGACAAATATTGTCCAATAGTTTAATTTATTTCAATAACTGTATTATAAACTTTATAGTTCATTGTTTCACTTGCATGTTGCGTTTATTGATTGTAAATTTCATTGGAAAAAGGCGAAGCAAGCTCAATACTAAACAGGGCACTACTTTAGAAAAGATCCCAGTTTTCGCGGCACATATTTTAAGAGATCTGACAGGAAGATAATCAGTGAAATCCTGTATATTAACAACATGTGAAGGACGGGTAGAAAATAAACACCAACACGTGAGAATAAATTATAAGCAACAAATCCTTTTCATAATCATAAGAAATATACGAATCATAATATGATTTTGACCATATCATAAGCCTGTGTTTATGAATCACTATCAAGCAGTGATGATACCAGGTGTTCGCTAAAAGTCGAGCATATCTTGCCCAAACCGGGGGCACCCGTCACAAACACATGCAAAGGCAAGTCAAATGTTCACCTAACAAAAAGCCGGGAACATATGGTACAAGTCAAGATAGGGAATTGCATCTGACATCATTTCTGTCACATTTTGAAATATAATCTACATGTCTGCCATAAAACTTTTGGAAGTTTTACTAAGGCCTTGAACGTTTTAACCCTGATTGAACAACTTTTGCCCAAGAGTCGTTTGGCTCTCTTTGAAATCTTCTTAGAAACGGTATACTCGATTGTAACTAAAGAATTGTGAAATGTAGACACCGAAATGTGGAGCTGCGGGAATTATTGCTCGACGAAAAGGGAAAGTATATATTAGAAAGTTGAAGTCACGCCTATTTTCATATAGCCCTGTATTGCTTGAAGTTCAGAACGGTTGTGGGCAATATTGTCTTTTACGCATGCGCAGGTCATTGTGAAACCTTGGTGATAAGAAGATTGTTGATGGTCGTTCATTCTTCACCAGGCGAACGCAATTTGACACTCGGTTCGTCAATGTAATTATGAACCGTTGATTGGGAAGCTGAAACACTGCGAAAGGTTAAGTTTTGATATTTGAAGCTAATGTGACAAGTAGAATATTTTTTCTCTACTGGATATGTATTCAACGACCCTAGATAAATTACTATAAGATGCCTATATACGATATTATATCGTGTTTATTGACAATGTGTTTTGTTTAAGTTTGACCTATGTTTCAACGCTTTATTTATTTCAAACGCATGGATATAGGTCCAGCATGTGATCGTGTGCCGTGAATATTGATGTAAAGTGAAACCTGAATAATGCGGACCTCGTTAGTCCGAATACCTCGCCTTTCGGACGTTTACTTTTGAAACTTCTATAAATATGTAGAGGCATCACTTCTAACCCTGGTAATCCGGACTATTTGATTGGGAACGATACAGTCTGGATTAGCGAGGTTTCTGTGTATTTCTGGTGTGGCAATATTCATTCAATGTGTGAATGACTTTTATTTTTGCATGTTTGATATTGCCGCCTGTCACAAATGTGTTTTTATTTTAGTGGGTAATGTCTACAAATATGAATGCGGTTAAGATTCACAACTAACGTATGAACTCTGTTCAAACAATGCTGTAAGAACTGCTGGATTTTATGTGTTTTGTATATATTATGGATATCTGGTGTTGTTTGGTCGAAACAGATTTATTTTCCTAACTTTGTTGACATGTATGCTTTAATGCGCACAAAACCTCTATTCAGGATACAAATAAAATCAGACTTTAAAGACGAGTGTTCTGTGATTATTGACTCAAAGTAATAATGAGTGGTACATACAGTACTACTTTTATAACTAACACGGTTATAACGAACTGACGGATAAAACGAACATATTTTTGGTTCCGGCCGTTTGCTTTTTATGTGCTGTATATATGCTTATAACGAACTACGGTTATATCGAACTAAAATCAGTGGTCCTTATCAGTTCGTTATATGCCTAGTTTACTGTACAGTTGAACACCTGTGTGTCGTACTCGGAGGGACCTGAAAATATGTTCGACTTAGCTGATTGTTTGATACATTAGAAAACAGATTATCTAAGTCAATACCAATGGAATGACACCTATTGTTCAATTATTGTCGATGTGTGCGTGTTAACCGCACTTTAAGTTAAAATTCCCATTGTATTTTGCATCTAGGGCTAATCTAAGGTATTTTTGAGTCAGACAGGGTAATTTTGTACTTTTATTTGTCATTTTGAAGATAAGTTTGAGACAACAAAAAAATCGACATATCCGACTTAAAGATCAAATAATGATAGAAGATAGGGAAAGTCGCTGGGAGTGGACAATCAGATCGGCACAATGGTGTTCAAGACGATTAATTATCAATAATTTCGGAAGACGAAATAAAAAAATACGAAGATAACTTTTTTAACTTTTAGGTTGGCCTATAATAAGGGCTGGCGTTGTAAATTCACAAAGAATATATCCCCCGTTGATTCAAGATTGGACATTTAAGGTCTGACATCATGCACGGTGTTCAACATCGTCGAAAGTGAATTCACTTGTACTATCGCCATAAGACTACAATAATTGTACCATTAGTGTAATGGAACTGCAAAATAATTTTCCATTATTGCAATAGCCGGAGTCGAACCGGAGGAGAATGTAGCCCGAAGTCTACTTACTCGTCACCTTGGCAAATAACAGACAAACAAGAGTTATTTCCCTTATATCAATCGGCTACCATCGTCTACATTATAATCACGATGATGGATAGTAGTTTTATGTGAAGTGCGTGTGTGTGCATGCGTCCGTGCGTGTGCGTGCGTGCGTGCGTGCGCGTGTGTGTTATATAATAGTGGTGTCCTGAGGCCTGGATTTACAAACATTGTTTATTTCATTGTTTGTTGTTTAACGCCGCATTCAGCAATAATCCAGCTATATATGACGGCGGTCTGTAAATAATCGAGTCTGGATCAGACAATCAAGTGATTGAAATCATGAGCATCGATCCGCGCAATTGGGATACGATGACAAGCATCAAGTCAGCGAGCCTGACCATTCGATCCCGTTAGTCGCCTCTTACGACAAGCCTCTTCGATTTTTAGGGCAAGCATGGGTTGCTGAAGACCTATTCTACCCCGAATCTTCATGGGTCGAGAAGAGATAACTTCTTGCCAGGTTTACAAACAATATGGCTTACAATATGGCCTGTGAGGACCTGGAGACATTTGGATTCCAAATGAGATATCTTGCGGCATATGACTTCCTGGGGCATTGAACCAAACTATACGTATCTTTATGCCATCCTGTGGCTATACAGTAGTAGTGTTAGTAGATACTGTGGTCAACAGGACCCCTTTCCACATCACGATCCTTCTGCTATGACTCTCGCATCCCACATTCTTTAACACAGGAGTAGCTGTGGAGCTGACACCGTTTCTCGAAAGCGGTCCATGCGGCCGAAATTAAACATGATTAATATCACACAAGATACAGGAAGTTAGCGGTGAGGTGAAGTGGGGTTTACGTCGCGTCAAAGATTAATGCACTTACATAGCGACTTGCATAGGTGTGTGTGTGTGTGTGTGCGTGCGCGCGTGCGTGTGTGTGTGTGTGTGTGTGTGTGTGTGTGGATGCTTGTACTAGTCCGGACTGATGCCGATTTTATAAGGATAGCTCACTGAGATACCATGCTGCAGTTTAACATGAATACCCCACTCAGATACAGTATGCTGACTCCGAGCCGACCAGTCCTTGTTTTAGGCCCTTAATCTCGAGCACCAGACAGGGTAAAAACAAGTACCATCTTTTAACGACTCTTTGTCTGATCGAAACGGACCTTCCGCTCTCCGGGCGGACGCTCTATCCAATAGAAAACGGAGGCGGTGCCAGCAGCTAGGCATCTGACACGAGTTCATGGATACACTTTGAAGAACCTATTGTTCTGTTCAAGTGACAAGAGGTGGAACGGTGTAAGGCGCCGCGATTCGCTGTGCAGAGATGCGTCCCTTGGGCACCCCGGAAACCTATGATTGTGGGTTCCAATCCCGGTTCGCCCCGATTATGTTTCTAGGTTTGTCAGCACCATACCCGTGCTCGTGGGTTTCACCGAAGTGGTAGACGTCTGAGACCTGCCTCACTTCGGGCTTTCCTCCCACGTTAAGCTGACACGCCGCGATATAACTGGAATACTGTTAAAAGCGGCGTTAAACCCAACTCACTCACTCACTCACTCAAGTGACAAGATACAGCTGTTACAATAATTAACAACCCAATCGTCTGTGTCCTAGTCGAGATACAGCTGGGTTGTTAACATGGTAAACATGTCATTCGTTGTGCCATTAGTAGTCCCATGCGGTTTCAAATTCACCCTACCATGAAGAAGGAGAATTACCGAGTCTTATTCATAATTCAGAGGTTTCAAAGCACACTAACCACCTCTGATTTAACCATCTTTTTTGT